TGTGCACCGAGAGGTGTCGTCGCCGTCATTGTCCTCGTCTTCCGATCAAGCTCGGTTCCTGTCGGCAGCCTGACCAACAGCATCACAGCAACAGTGACCGACGTAGATCGCTCGCTGCCTAGCTTTGATGGCTATTTGGACCCTCTTTCGTTGGTCAATCCTGCCCGTAGTGGTGGTCATCGCGGCTGTGTCGCCATCGTCCGTCGAGAACCTGTCGCACCAACGCCACGAGATCTGGGTGACCAGCGCGTACACCTTCGCCACCACCTCTGCCCCCTGTCTCTCTGGACCCCTGAACGTTCAGTGCACTGTGGCTAAGACTGTCAGCCAGCGTCAAACCGCGGTCTACATAACCGAGTTCGATAAGCGTTTCAAGGTGGTGGCCATCCTGCCAGACGGTGGAGGAAGCCACGGCCATCCTCCAGCCGAGCATGACGCAATACTTGTCTTCGACCCGTTTCCGCAAGCTTCGTTTGGTCACTTCATCTGGCTCTTCGCCGTCGATCACATGCAACGAGCCGAAGACTGTGACCAGCACAACGGCGTCTACGTAGGTAAGTCTACTTTCTACGGCGAACTTTCGCCCAGCCCTATAACCTCAGTCTAGTCCCTTTACAGTAATACATTCCTGCACGTAGGAACTCCGTTAGATCACACCCTTACACGGTAGAAACTTTGTATGCCTGTTAGGCAAGTTTTCTGCTTAGTAATATATAGTGCTTTGCTTACTCAATTAACAACAGACTCAAATGGAGTAGTTACAATTCTGAAACTTCAGTTATTTGTATGGTTCAACATGTTCTTTTTGCTTTCATCTGTTGTGTAGCAGATCTCTGCTATGAGAAATATATCATTGAAAAAATTACAAAATATAAAATAACCTCAGTTCTGGGGTAGCCACCAAGAATAATAGATTTCGCCATCAGTCCTAGTTCAAGGATTATATTTTTTAAGTTTGAATGGAAGTCAAGCTACGGGCAATATAGTTCCAAACCTTTCACATCAATGTTTTCCCCTAACAGACCGACGATTCAGCTTTTGCATGCTTCAATGCTTGATAAGATCAATTACACATGCAAACGCTTACTAACGTTCGTTTAATTGTGTTATAATTTTTGCAAAAAATATAACAATTAATTTTTTGATCTTTCTAATAATCGAATCCTCAGAGCGATTTTAGAGCGGCTCTACCACAAAGCTTCTAAAAACGTGATGACGAAAAATCTGAATAGCGAATGTCTCTCTTCATCATCACAGGTTCGTCATCCCAACTAAATTGAGCTTCATCATACATTTTCATTCAACGCGTTTAAGTAAGGCATTTCCGTGGTGAAAAATTTTAAAATTCATGTCACAGATCGCAGTTGCTCATAGCCGCTGGTTTTCGGCGAGGCCATTTAAAAGAAAAGCGGTGCAATAATCGTTGAGGTATCACAGTTTCCGTTATATTCTGAGATTCAGAATATATAGAAATTATTCATAGATGGCAGGATTATGGACTGAAAGCGTAGTTAGTTGCATGGAGCTTTCACAGAGCCACTTTCACCTTTTGGTTATAGCGACAAGTTTCTATTTGGCCTGCCTCAAAGATGTGTTCTTGAACTTTTTAGGAATAACTGTTGATACTATGCACTATTCTATAGTCTATATTAAAAAATTATTTTGTCATCCAGAGACTGGGAGATGCTAGTCTTGTGAACTCCGATAATTGGATTTTGAGGAATAATCATTTCAAACATTGTGCCGAAGTCACCTGACCCTAAATCGACTCTTTGTCCACTTGCCACGTTGCCTTACGAGGAAAATCTATCTTGCGGACATCTTAATCAATCGGTTCTATGGGCATTCCTAGTTTAACGAGGCTACCAAATTTCGTCATGGTTTAAGTATGGGGTCCATCTGCTAACAAGCCACCTCAAAACCTAGGTGTTTCTTAATTTGTTATTCTCATGGTCAGCTGCGGCGAGCCGATTTTGACAGAAATAAAGAACAACATCTGTTCCGTTGTTTGCTCCACTACATATAATTATGCCACGTCAGCGGCGGAACTTTTGAAGTGATAACGCGTACAGAGGAAGTCAAGCTAGGAACTGTTTGTTTCGGTCAAGTTTTTCACGACAGTCCCAGAACCGATTAAACGCAGCACAACAGAACATTTGACCAGGCACGTCATTTGTTATTCGTGATATTATATTGCGGCAGAACTTTGTAAATCCATGATTTTCGTAGAGAATGCCAACTTATAATGTTTTTCTGATTTATGTCATGGAAAATTTATCAACTGCTAAAAATATTACATCAAAGTTCAAATAAATGGCGGTAGCACACAGTTGCAGAACCGGCATGCTGCATACAAATTATAGAGTCTTGAGCTGTTTATGAGTAACTCAATAGCTGGCTAGGATCAGTTGCCAATACAGCAAGTGCACATTACGTCTGTTTAAGATTTCATTGAATACCATTGCCCTTAGTTAATCGAACTTTCACACGTTCAACACCGTTATATCAGTTCTGCGGAGGTGAGAAACCTGCTACTCACTTCACAGCTAGCAGAGAACAAGTAAATAAGGGTGAGCTCATTTAGCTGAGCTATCAGTGTACCTAATGTAATGCTTAAGCGACCAATGCTGATCAGGAAATTGCGCCTGCAGCGCCATA